ATGCATGCCAGCTGGGACTGAAGCAGAAAGCCTGGGAATGGGAGGATAGGTGGTCTGTAAGGTGCTAGGTCAAGGTGGGCTTGTGGGTCAAGGCCATATGGCTGGGTATGGGAGAGTGTTGGTGTGGGGGCACTGTCCTGTGACAGGGATTCACTCCCTGGAAAGGGGGTTGGGAAGCTGCTGGGAAAGGGATGGCACACGTTAAATGAATGAAGTAGAGATGCCAGGACTGACAACAGGGGCAGGAAGGAGCAAAGATCAGAGAAGTGGGCATAAGACAAGAAAACCCACCAGGCTAGCTACGTTCCTTGGGAGGCCCGGAGGACTCTCCATCTATCAAAGTGGTAAGGAAGGAACTGGTGAGGGGCACCCCCCCCATTCAGAAACTGAGTGGTGCCTGTCCTCTGGCGGGGAGAGACTGATGGGAGAGAGGCTGTTACAGAGTCGGCCTCTCTGGTGGGAATGATAAGATGCAGCAGTGGTTCTCAAACCAGCACGCATTCAGATCCACTGGAGGACTTGTCAGAACACACAGGGCTCCATCTGCAGGTCTGGGCTGGGGCTAGAGAGTGTACATATCTGAAAAGTTCCCAGGTGATGCTGCTGTTGCTCATCCAGGTACTAGACTTTGAGAGCCACTGGCTACGGGCCTAGCAGAGGGCGAGGGCAGCCCGTAAGTATCAGAAAAAAGGTGAGTATAATTACGGTGATGAGCTGCAAAGTTGGGATGGGCATGGGGGTGGGGAGTGAACTCAGGGTTCTACAGACTCAGGGATCTGAGGGATCTGTGACTCAGAATATGGTGATCCTAGGGGAAAGATAGATGGGCCACCGGCAGAAATACCCCTAAGTACATATATAAACAAAAACACGTCTATGCAAAGTCATGATCCAGTTTTCCCCGTGGAAAGTCATTGTCCAGTTTCTGACCCTGAGTCACCAGAAACAATGGGCTGAAAGGACGACACGACAACCTCGATGGCAAGTGAGAGCCTTGGTCCTTCCCCAGAGCGACTGCAGCCAGTTAGAAAGTGAGCACTCATTTCTTTTCAGAATGGTTGTGTTCCTACTGTGGCGTCCAAATTGATGCTGATACCTATGGACCCATAGCATCACCATGGCCCCCCGTTAGAGCAGGGACAAATGGGGATCATGTCATCAACAGAGCCCTGGCTCAAGACACAGCAGGGTCAGAATAGCGGTCTAGGCTGCAGCCACACATCCGAGCATCACTGGAATGTTATATTGTATTTGAAGCCATGAGATTGGATTGGAGCAGCCACAGGTGGACAGAGAAGAGGTGAGTGGCTGAATGACTGGTGGGTGGCAATTAGGGGAGGAGCAGGCACTTGTCACAGCATTAAGGAAGGGAACATCCTCCCCAAGCTCTCTGGCCTCCCCAGACCCCAGGTTCTATGAGGAAATCGGCTATGTCTTTCTCCTTTCTATGTTCCCAGGGCCCAGCCCAGCACCAGGCACATAGAGGGGATTAATAAACTAGCTTTCAAGTTACCTTATCATGAACACCACCAACAAACGCCAAGGAAAATGTGCTTCTAGGGGCAGGGAGAGCAAATATGCTGCTCTTTGAAGGCAAATGCTTCTGTTTTTAGTTCTTATGTGGAAGTGAGAAGTCTTGTGTCTGTTGGGAAGATTAATCAGGGGATGTTTCATTGCCACTTGGGTCCCTTCCCAAGTTCATTTGTAATGAGTAGGACATGACTTTCCAAATTAAGAGAGAGAAGTTGTGCAGCTTAAATTACTGCACATTTTCTTGATATGACAAATGCTATTTTTGCACCTTTTGAAAAGGCAGCCTATACTCCAACAGATACCTGCTGTGACCCTATGAAACAGTAACAAGCAAATGATCTGCCCACCCAAAATAGCCAGAAGAGCTGTGACAGAGTGGGGATGCTGTGGGCTCTGAGCAAGAGCGGCTGGATTCAGATTTTGGAGTGAGGTGGGGCATGAAGACGCTGTGTCCTGAGGCCTTTACTTCTCATCTTATTCCTTGTAGCAATCCCATAAGGGAGGGGTTGTCCTCACTTTACAGATGAGGAAACTGAGTCTGGAGGCTCAAGGACTAGCTTGTCCCTGTCCTACTGCTCCCTAGACCCAGCTGGCTGCCGGCCCTGCCGAGCTGCCATCATCTGCATCCATGCCCTGACTCTTCAGTATCTCTCCCTGGCCTTCCGGAGACAGACCCCTGGCCAGTGGCCTCCATGTGATTTGGGGCTCCGGGACTTCTCGCGTGAAGATGACTGACATTTGCTGAGTGCAGAGTGCTAAGTCTTGTGCAATACGCTTCACATAGCACAACAGGCAGTACAGCAAAGTGGGTAAGGTAAGGGTTCAAATCCTGGTTCCACCACTTTCTTTTTTCTTTGAGACTGAGTGCTCTTGTCACCCAGGCTGGAGTGCAATGGCACAATCTCAGCTGGCTGCAACCTTCACCTCCCAGGTTCAAGCAATTCTCCTGCCTCAGCCTCCCGAGTAGCTGGGATTACAGGCGCCCACCACCACGGCCAGCTAATTTTTGTGTTTTTAGTAAAGACGGCGTTTCACCATGTTGGCCAGGCTGGTCTCGAACTCCTGACCTCAGGTGATCCGCCTGTCTTGGCCTCCTAAAGTGCTGGAATTACAGGTATGAGCCACCATGCCTGGCCAGTTCCACCACTTGCATGGGCTCAGGCAAGCTACCACTCTGTGGTTCAGCTTCCACATCGTTCACCTGGAGCTGATGGTACCTGCTGCACAGACTGCTGTGCTGATTGTAAGTTCATCCACATGAAGAGCTCAGAACAGTCCTAATGCAGCAGGACTATACAAGGACTAACTCTGATGGTGGGAGCCAGGTTTCCTTGTGGTCCCAGCCTAGCAGCATCTTCCTCACCTGGGAATGGACTAACGCTTGGCCCACCCCAGGCTACTGACTCAAACTCTGTGCATGGGACTGAGGGACCTGCGTTTTAACAAGCTCTCCAGTGAGGGGATGCAAGCGAAAGCTTAGTCCTTCTAACACTGCTGTAAGAAGGTGCTTTTTTGTTCTCATTATTACTATTACGTGGATAAAATGGGCTTGGAGGGGTGGTCATGGCCAAGGTAATGCGGGTACTAAGGGCCAAGATGCAAAGTGGGTCAGTCCACTCTATACCACTGTGCCCGGCCCAGCCCTTTCTGCCAGCCCCATGCATTTCCCTTTCCCACTAGCTTCGTTTCCTTCTTGGCCAAGCCTGTTGGGGCAAGTGTGCCTCTCAGTCCACAAACTTAGGTAGGCAGAAAATAGCCACGGGGTGACGAAAACTCAATTCCCATCCATTGTCCAGGTGCAGTGGCTCACACCTGTAATCCCAGCACTTTGGGAGGCTGAGGCAGGTGGATCATGAGGTCAGGAGTTCAAGACCAGACCGGCCAACATGATGAAACCCCGTCTCTAATAAAAAATACAAAAATTAGCTGGGCATGGTGGCTCATGCCTGTAATCCCAGCAACTTGGGAGGCTGAGGTAGGAGAATTGCTTGAACCAGGACCCGGGAGATGGAGGTTGCAGTGAGCCGAGAATGCGCCATTGCACTCCAGCCTGGGTAACAAGAGCGAAACTCCGTCTCAAAAAAAAAAAAAAAAAAAAAAAAAAAAAAATTCCCATCCATTAAAGGGGTTAGAGATCTGACCCCTTCCCCTGGATTGCGCCAGACTGTTGAGGACTTACGCAGTGGTAAAGCACCAGGGCTGAGGTCTACCTGGTCCTCACACCACCTATCTGCTGGCATCCAGCCTTCCAACAGAGCCCCAGGTCTTCATCCCTACACACAGAGGCTGGTACAGTCAGCCACTTCGGATAATTAAGCGGCTTGGTCACTGCACAAACATATCAGGATGGGGTAATCGGTGGGACTGAAATCCCACCTGAGCTGTCTTTGCTGAGCTATGGATATAGGTGCAGGGCAGCCTCCACCCTGAGGCAGGGCGTCTCTTCCACAGCACCAAGGAACCATCCACGGACCAGGTCATGCATCCATGAGCTCATTCATCTTCCCAGAAAGGGTGCCTTTCCTAATTTGCACAAAGGAAGCTTAGAGATGGATGTGGCCCTCCTGGCATGGACCCATGCTGGTGGAGAGGCTCCCACAGGACTCTGGTCCTCTGCCACTTCCAGGTGATGCTCAGGCTCCTGGCTTCACTCAGGCTTGGGGTGATGGGGTGCGGGGGAGGGAACCACGGAAGGCTACCCTGGGCATGAGGTGGCCTTTCCTCTCAGGCCCACAACCTACCCAAGGCTGCCCCTGGGAAGTAGGGAACGAGGGGCCCGTACTTGCAAAAATACAATATAACTGGGGGTTTGCTGTCGCCTGGGGCTCTGGCCAGGAAAGGGACCCAGTGGCTGTGCTTCCATTCCACTCCATCGCCCCTCCTTCAGTATTTTCTTGCCTCTGGGGAAACCCAACGCTCCTCAGCCTTGTTTCAGGAGTTTCTTCCCAACTTTTGTCCAGCTAGAAGTCCTCCCCAAGTTCCTAAAATCTTGGATTTTGGAGACCACAGTCAGACCTTTTCTCTTCATCTCAGACACAGCCCTCCCCACAGGCAGTGAGCAGAAGGAATGAGCTAGGTGGCAGGAGAGGGAAGGGGAGATCTATGAGTCCCCCCACCCCACAATGATTGAACGTGCCTGGGAGTCCGGGGGAGCGCAGGCCACACTGTGCCAGGTCCTCCGAGTAGGGAAAGACTCGTTATTCCCGCTTCCCCAGCCTGGAGCTGGGGCTGATGGAAAAGGTTGCAGCCTCTGAAGCGCACAGCCTCCTGCTTCTTGAACTTTGGTAAAATTCTGGCTGTGCGGGCCCGCGCTGCTTCCCATCCACCGCGCCACTCACGCGGAGGTTCAGGGGGTCCCTCACCCGAGGTGGCCCCAGAGCCGCCCCTCTGGTCTCCATCCTGGAGCAACGCCCTCCCGCCCTCCTTTGGCGGCGCTGTCCCAGAGGCCCGGCATTTTCACCTCTTACCTCGAGCTTCCCATGGTGCATCTACCGACCGCAGGAAGGGGGCGCACATGTCACTCTCTCCTCTCCAATTCGGCTACAACTCGAGTTCGATCTTCACTGCAAACGACACCATCTGGTTGCTGGTCCCTAAGGTGTTCAGCCTGCGGAAGGGAGCTGCGGTTAAAAAAATAAAAGTACACGATACCGGGTCCGGAGCAATTTGTTTTGTATTATGTCAATTCTAGAAAAAAAATTACAGGTCATTGTTTTTCATTCAAAGTAAACACTGCTCTACTGGCAGGACGCAGTGGCTCATGCCTGTAATCCCAGCACTTTGGGAGGCCAAGGTGGGCGGATCATCTCAGGTCAGGAGTTCCAGACCAGCCTGCCAACATAGTAAAACCCTGTCACTACTAAATATACAAAATTAGCGGGGTGCGGTGGCCTGCGCCTGTAATCCCAGCTACTGGGGAAGCTAAGCCAGGAGGATTGCTTGAAACCAAGAGATTGTAGTGAGCGAAGGTTGCACCACTGCACTCCAGCCTGGGCAGCAGAGTTAGACTCCATGTAAAAAAAAAATTGTTTTATTGAATCCCATTTTCTATCTGCCTATCTATCTATCTGGATATCACCCATAGATACATATATTTTCCATATATATTATTTCATATATATATATATTCTTTCAGCTTAGATTACCCACTCTATTGAATAGAAGAATGTCAATAAGAAGTGAAGACTGCAAGACTCTTATTTTTGCCATGAAGCTATTAATAGAAATGAGTAATTGTAAACATGTGAGCAACATGGCTTTCAAATTTTTTATTACAAAAAATAATAAAGTATACACTACTCCTCATAAATTCCACATAGCGGATTGGTTTTGGCGGAATAGTTTTACCGATTTTTGCAGAACGCTGGTGTTCCTAGTGAATTTATGGTTGCTGTTGACAAATGAATGCAGCACCATGAATATTGCTTGATATTTTTGTTTACCTTAGCAAGAAAGACAAAGGTGAAATAACGGAGAAACTTCATTTATTCCTAATCATGATGTAACTTCTTTTAAAATTTTTTTGTGTTTTTAAATTTTGTTGGGACCAGTCTCGCTCTCTTACCCAGGCTGGAGTGCGACGGCTCCATCACAGCTCACCAAAGCCTCGACTTCCTCAGGTCAAGCCATCCTCCCAGTTCAGCCTCCCGAGTAGCTGGGACTATAGGTGCATGCCACCCACGCCCAGTTGATTTTTGTATTTTTTTTTTTTTTGTAGAGAGGGGGTTTTGCCATGTTGTTCAGGCTGATCTCGAACTCCTGAGCTCCAGTGCTCTGCATGCCTTGGCCTCCCAAAGTGTTGGGATTACGAGTGTAAGCCGCCATGCCTAGCCACGAAGCAACTTCTTTCCTGATCCGGATACAGGTTTTGAGACACTGGAAAAACATTTCCTCGAATTTCTGTGCTATTCACAATTCAATAGCTATAGAAGCAACACACCACTAAATTTAATCTGCACTGGTAACATACTCTCCACTGCTTTTAAAGGCTAGACAATCAACAAAACAACAAATCCACAAAAACAAGTCATTGACTGATTTTTTTGTTGTAAATACTCAAGCAACCAACACCATGTCAGTGAATATGGAGTAGGGTAGTACACATGAAATGGCATTTCCATGGTGCAGGCACACTAGTCATTCATAACTTCAAGAACAGATCATGGGAAAATGCAGTGAAATAATAAGGAAGTGATACGTTTTGAATATTTGTTTGTTCTTTTTGTATAATTAACTGTAAGCTTCTATAATTAGTTTTTAATAATGGCTGTGTTTAACAGGCGGTCCACAAAATCCTTGAAATGTAACAGTTGGCACTCACAGACCTGTGGGAGCCAACCACAGCACACCACTGCCAGGCTCCCGTGACTCCCGGCTTCTCCAGTGGGGGGCACTGGCAAGAGAATGGAGGCTGGGAGGAGGAAGAACTGGGTTTTTATCCTCCTGCTCCCTCCTGGGATCCATTCTGCTCCTCAGGGGGCTCTTTTCCAGCACTCTAGGCTTCTCCAGGCTCAGCCAACACCCTAGGATGCTAACAGCTTCTTGGCTTCTCGCTCCTCCTGGTCCTTGGTGCTTCCTCATCCCATCCACCCCCATCCCATCGATCATTCCCTTCCCTTTGAGTTTGCCTCTGCTTCCTGGCCAGACCCTGCCTGCTCAAGCCTGCTCCTGTGGTCACAGCTTCTAATACCGCTAGTCACATCACCCCTCTGACCTTCAGTATTGTGAGGATTCAGTGTGAAGCAGCAGGATATTAACCGGAAAGAGTAGCTGGGGGTACATCCCCAACCCCTACCCCCTTCCTCCTGGCCCTGCTAGTTCCTGATCCCCTATAACTCTTTCCCTACCTGGGCAGCTGTACCCTGAAACAGTCAATTCCTCGGGACAGGATTTATAGCAAAAATGGGGGAAAGGTTTTGAGTTTCCAAGTCCAAGGCCCTGAAGGGCACTGGGCCAAGAAAAACTAATGAGTCAGTGCAAAATGTCCTGCTGGGACCCACTGGTTCCTAAGAAGTCTCTCCTACCCTGCAGAGCTGTCCCCTATCCAGCCAGAAGATGTGGGACAGCAGAACCCCTATTAGCTTGGGGAGTCAAAAAGCTGAGAATAAACAGCTGTAGCAGAGTCCAGGCAACTGTGAGAGCTGTCCCCCTGCACCCCAATGTTCCAGAGTGGCCCAGGACTGGTGGGGCCTCCACATAGGTTTGGGTAATGACACCACAGCAGCTCTGTTGTTTGACAAGCAAAGGCCAGGTGTCGGTGTGCACCTGGGCGAATGGGTGGACAGACATGATAGGGTGATGAGGGAGTCCAAAACCCCCTGTCTCACAGCAAGGTGAAGAAACCCAAGCACTGAATAAACCCACTCTCCACCTCCACTTAGTCTTAGCAGAAAAGGACAGGGAATTATTAATTGAAAGATATTAATTCTACCACCTATAGAATGGGATCTCCAACATAAGGTCTCTAGAAAAAGAAACAACCACTTTCTGTGTTGCTTGTGACTGGAGACTCGTGCCTGTAACAAGAAGAGCACTGGAAGCTTTCTCAAAGGCCCTGGACCAGCTTGCTGAGCAGCCCACCTTCCCATGCCATCTGTAAAATACACTAACCGCTAGCCCTGCCACGAGGATCCCTCTGGCCAGTGGATGACCATCCAGGCCTCCCCTGGGCACCTGTGTCGCCACCAGTCCAGGAGCACCCCAATCAAGGGCCAGCTGGTTTGTCCCCGTGAGCCTTAATGACACTTATACTGAGAATTGTCATGCCTAAATAACTGCCACGAAAATGAACACAATGCAAGTGTACAAAAAAGAGCTGTGGTTTCTATGGAGATTAAACTGATACTTTCTTAGGGAAACGGTATTGGAACGAAACAGCTGTCACATTAGGGCTGTGCTTGGGACATTTGTAAAAGTTTGTGGAGATGTTACATGTCTAGAAAGCTCTGTACTTGGAGCACTTCACCGTCTAAGTTTTCACTGTAAATGAAAGAAATTCATATTGGAAAATGGAATGTACTGTGAGGGTAGTTTGTATAAGGACAACTAGAACTCCAGTCAACTGACATCAAGAGAAGTATTTTGCACATTAAAATACTGGCAAATGGATATATATTTACGTTTCAAGTTGAAAAGATTATTTAGTTTAGGCGTGGTGGCTCATGCCTGTAATCCAGCATTTTGGAAGGCCTAGATGGGCGGATCACCTGAGGTCGGGAGTTCGAGACCAGTCTGACCAACACGGAGAAACCCCATCTCTACTAAAAACACACACACACACACACAAAAAAAAAAATTAAGAAAGAAAAAGAAAAATTAGCGTGGCATGGAGGCACATGCCTGTAATCCCAGCTACTCGGGAGGCTGAGGCAGGAGAATCACTTAAACCAAGAAGGCAGAGGTTGCAGTGAGCCGAGATCATGCCATTGCACTCCAGCGTGGGCAACAAGAGTGAAATTCTGTCTCAAAAAAAAATTATTTCATGCATATGCATGTGCAATATATATATATATATATACATACATATGTGTATATATATATGCATACACACACACACATATACACACACATATGAGATGGGGTCTCACTCTGTCGCCCAGGCTGGAGTGGAGTGGGATGATCAGGCTCACTGCAGCCTCGCATTCCTGGGTTCAAGTGATCCTTTTGCCTCAGCCTCCCAGGTAGCCCAGGTAGCACATGTGCCACCACCAGCTAGGCTAATTTTTTTTTTTTTTTGGTAGGGACAGGGTTTCTCTATGTTGCTCAGGCTGGTCTGGAACTCCTGGGCTTAAGCTATCCTCCCATCTCGGCCTCCCAAAGTGCTGGGATTATAGGCGTAAATCACCGGGCCTGGCCCGTATAATTAAAAAATATATATACACCCTCCCCTCCGCCCCCGCCAATCTCCAGGGCCTCGGATGAGAAGTCTCTGGTAAATGGCCATTACCTCAGCTACTCCATAGGCTTCTATTTCCATCCACGAACGCCAGGACTCTAGTACACTGCGGGCACGCGTGACGGGGCAGGAGCAGGGAGCCCTCTCCGACGTCCCTTCTCTGAGCCCAGCGGGGCAAGCCCGCGACCCGTCAGCTGTTCCCCGACTGCTCGCGCCAACTACCCGCCGCCGCCAGGGTGCGGAAGGGGGCGGTGTCCGGCCGCCGAGGCCAGGCCGGGCCGCGCTCTGATTGGCTGGAGGTCGCGGCCCGCGCCCAGTCCACCCACCCCGTCAGCTAAGTACCCGGGCTCGCCCGCTCCGGCTCCAGTCTGTGGGCCTCCCGGGCGGCGGCTGCGGGGCCGAAGCGTTGCGGCTGAGGGGACAAGACCAGGGCAGGAGGGGCCGGCCAGCCGCGAGACCCCGCACGCCTGGCAAGATGCTGTCCTGGCGGCTGCAGACGGGCCCCGAGAAGGCCGAGCTGCAGGAGCTCAACGCCCGGCTCTATGACTACGTGTGCCGGGTGCGGGAGCTGGAGCGCGAAAACCTGCTCCTGGAGGAGGAGCTGCGCGGCCGGCAAGGGCTACAGGGCCTGTGGGCCGAGGGGCAGGCCCGCTGCGCCGAGGAGGCGCGCAGCTTGAGGCAGCAGCTGGAAGAGCTGAGCGGGGCCACTGCGCTAGCTGAGGGCGAGCGGGACGCGCTGCGGCGCGAGCTGCGGGAGCTGCAGCGCCTGGATGCGGAGGAGCGCGCCGCCCGCGGCCGCCTGGACGCCGAGCTGGGCGCGCAGCGGCGCGAGCTGCAGGAGGCGCTGGGCGCGCGCGCCGCGCTCGAGGCGATGCTGGGCCGGCTGCTGGCAGAGCGCCGCGGCCTCGACGCGGCCCACGAACGCGACGTGCGGGAGTTGCGCGCGCGCGCCGCCAGCCTGACCATGCACTTTCGCGCCCGCGCCACCGGCCCCGCCGCGCCCCCACTGCGCCTGCGGGAGGTGCACGACAGCTACGCGCTGCTGGTTTCGGAGTCGTGGCGGGAGACAGTGCAGCTGTACGAGGACAAGGTGCGGGAGCTGGAGGAGGCGCTGCGGCGCGGCCAGGAGAGCCGGCTGCAGGCGGAGGAAGAGACGCGGCTGTGCGCGCAGGAGGTCGAGGCGCTGCGGCGCGAGGCGCTCGGATTGGAGCAGCTACGCGCGCGGCTGGAGGACGAGCTGCTGCGGATGCGCGAGGAGTACGGGCTGCAAGCGGAGGAACGGCAGGTCGGTGCGCGGGGACGGCGCCCTGACCCCACACCCTCTGTCCCCGCCCCGGCACCCTGCCCTCGACAGGGTGAGGCAGCGGCCCCTTCACCAGGGCGCGGCGTCGCGGACCCGTAGGGCCCGCCTAGAAGGTGCCCGAATGTCCTGGGGACCTGGGCTCGGTCCGCTGGTCCATCGAGTCAGCGGGCGAGCGACGTGCGGCAGATCCCAGTGGATGGCCCTGTCCCTTCCAGGGGTTAGGTGGCAGCTGCTTTAGCTCTTGATGCGCGTGACTGGGTGCATCCAGATAGTCGACCCTGTTAGCACTGTTTTCCTTCCGTTTCCCGAGTTTCGTAGCCCCAGATCTAAGAGTCAACCAAGAAACCTCTCTCACTTCCACAAGTGACGGCTCTAGTAAGTAGCCCCGTTGTCTGTAGTGCTCCTCAGGGGAAAACCCAAATTAACTTCCAAAACGGTTTTCATTTTGCCAATATGATTTCCCAGTTGGAAGCGGCAGTTGTGGCTCCCTGGGCTGCTGCCTTGTGTGATGTTGGGAGGGGCAGGAACCATAATGCAGAGAAGAGCTTAATCGGAAATGTTTTGATCACAGCACACGCTGACGTCAGATCTCTGCATAGTGTAAGAGTTGTGGGAAAGTGGGTCCCTTTGGCAGGATGTTATTACAAGTGCGGAGTGATATAAGCAGTTTCCATTTCAGAGAAGCACACCCTCTGACACCGGCAGGGTGACACCTGTGGCTGATGTCAACTATGCCCAATCCAGTCCTAGCGTTTGGCCCCTGCCCTGCCCAGCCTCAGCCACAATTGGAAATATTCCCAAATCACACAATCAGTAGTTCTCAGGACAGCTGGAAATAACATCTGCACAATTTCACAAATATTTTAAGAGTATTGTTTGCAGCTGTGAGTTAAAGATTGAGACAGTGACTTCTTGAAATTAGAAGTGAGAGGTGGGGATTGTGGTATGGAATGACGGGGTGATGTGACAGGTGTCCACAGATGATCGGCAAATACCTGTTGATCTCCCTGGGTCCCCAGCACTGCGCTAGACCGTGGGTATTCCAAGAGCTAGAGGCTAGATGGGAAATCATAGAAAGAAATATGTACTAAATTGGGATTTAATCTTTTGAGTTGGTTTTGTTCGGCTTCTGCCTCCTAATTTTTCAAAGTGTTCTCCTGGGGCTTTCCCATAGCTAAAGTAGGGACAGGGACTGACCCACCGTGTGCCGATTTCCACTTGTGGGCACTTGTGTCCCTTCGCAATGACAGTGGCCAGGGGTCTGAGTTCCGAAGGTCCTGTGCCCCTCATTGAGTGAAAGTTAAAAAGTGCCTTAATGTGGCATTCATGGGGGTTTAAGCAGTGGTTATTGTGACTCTTCAAAAAGGAGTGTCAACCCAGCTTCCCAGGGGACCCCTTTGTAGGGAACCCTCACTACCAACCCAGGGGCCTGTGCTGTTTAGGCAGGTTTAGAAAACGCTGCTTTGAGTCATGCTGTGTGGGCCAAATTCTCCCAAGCGTTAGCAGTCACAATTCACTTGGCACATTTCAGACCTTGAAACTCTGGTTCCAGTGTTCTGTCTTAGCCGCAAAGCCCTTCCCCCCACATTGAAATCTTCAGTGGAACCCCTAATCTGAGACAGATGAAAGCAGAGTTCTCCTGACTGGAGGACAAATGGGGACTTGGAAGTGCAGGTAAAATCCTGTCCAGCTCTCCTTTGACATAGGGACTCCAGGACCCACCAGGGAAGTGCTTTTCCTCAGGTCACACCTGCCCTGGGGCTGGGACACCACTCTCAACTTCCAGTCCCTGTTTCTGCTCGAGCTATGGCAAAACCCCAGGAGAACATGTTCAAAAGTTAGGAGGCAGAAGCCGAGCAAAACCCACAACTCAAAAGATTAAATCCCAATTTAGTACCATACTGCTTTCTTGATTTCCCATCCGGCTTCTAGCTTTTTGAATACCAAAGGTCTAGCTCAGTGCTCGGGCCGGGGAGAATCAACAGGTATTTGCCGATCATCTGTGGACACTGGTCATGTCACCCGAGTCAGTCCAGTGATACCTCTCTCGTGTTGGAATTTGCTGCTTTTTCCTAAAACCAAAGAGTGAGGAAAATGTCAATAAGGACCTGGGTTTTTGTTTTGTTTTGTTTTTTGAGACAGAGTCTTGCTCTGTTGCCCAGGCTCAAGTACAGTGGCTGATCTCGGCTCACTGCAACCTCTGCTTCCCGGGTTGAAGTGATTCTCCTGCCTCAGCCTCCCAAGTATCCGGCATTACAGGCACCACCACCATGCCTGGCTGATTTTTGTATTTTTAGTAGAGACAGGGTTTCACCATGTTAGCCAGGCTGGTCTTGAACTCCTGACCTCAGGTGATTTGCCTGCCTTGGCCTCCCACAGTGCTGAGATTACGGGTGTGCACCCCCTGTGCCCAGCTGGCTTTTTTTTTTCCCAGTTCCAATTTGCAGAGATTTTCTTGTACTAAATATTACCAGTCACTACCTTGTTTATATCCTGAATCTTCCCTCAGTTAGCTTAAGACAATCCCATTTCAAGTTGCATTCCAGAAGATTCAGCATCAGTCACAGAGATGCTAGGAAGTATGTGAAGCAGTAAGTATTGATGATTTAGCCCCAAGCCTGCAATTTTTCTCATGTTCTGTAGAAGCTTACTCTGGGGAGACTGAAAAAAAACCCTAAAAATGGATTTAACTAGTATATGGTAATAAATGTCTTATTACTAAGAGTTAGCCTTTAGCAAGTGCTTGTTGTGTGCCAGGTACCCCCGACACCCTTCACAAGTATTCACTGTCAGTGTTCACACCAGTGTCAGAAAGTGGGTACTAATATTAGCCTCATTGCACAGAGGAGGAAACTGAGTCACAGAAGTCACCTGATTAGTAAGTAGTGAAGCCAGGGTTCAACTCAGGCTCTGGTGCCTGAGCAGCTGGGCCACAGTTCCTCTCTTTTGTCTCTTCCATCAGACAGAGAAACCTTTAACCAGTATTCCTGCCTTCAGAGCATAATAATTGCTCTTCCTAAGGGCTAGCCTGAGATACTCTGCTGATTTCCAGTCCTAAAATGCTTTTAGACCCCTCCAGCTGGCTGATGTCAGAATAGTTTTGGCATTAAAACTGTTTTCTTGGTTTTCTTTCTTTCTGTGTTCCGTGTGCTTTAATGCCCCCTTCGCTGGAGGCAGGAGCTGGAGTCGGTGGAGGGTATCCCCTCATTGTGCCCAGCTCTCCTTGCCTCTGGCCATCTTCTGTGGGTCACGGGGGAAGATTGCTAGGATTCTGCTTGGTGGGGAAGCTGGTCCTTCCCAGATGGCCCACGTGTCTTCTCTATATGAGGCGATAATTGTTGGCCTGCCTCAGGTGTGGCCTCAGATTTGCTTGCACAGTTTGCTGAACTGACATCCAAGTTCCCAAATGTGATCTAGATCATGGGAAGCCTGAGTAAGACACCCAGGCTGCAGGAGGGGGCTCCAGAAAACACTGAAAGACATTTGTAATAGTGTAAAGACCAGCTTTACCCTGCAAGCACTGAGAGTTTTGCTTATGAGAATGAGCCCTTAGCTTCCGAGGCTGTTTGGAAAAGGCTTCCAAGACCCCAAAACATGATTGAAAACTTTCTGTAGCTTGGAACGTGGGGTGGGATTAGGGTGGGATTAGCAGAGGGTCCGTGCTCTGCAGCTGTCCTACCTGGCCCTGAATTCCGACTCTGCCACTCTTTGGGCAGGTGACGTTGTTTAACCTCTCTGCAGTTCAGTTTTCCCCCTTTGTGGAAATACTGACTGTAGCTCCCGGGGTGTATACAGTTGGTTCATTAGTTCATCTCACAGCCGTCGAGCATTTAGTGTGTTAAGCTCAGTTCTTCATGGCTGGAGATTCAGCAGTGGGAAATGCCACAT